CTTCCTTCCTTCCTTCCTTCCTTCCTTCCTTCCTTCCTTCCTTCCTTCCTTCCTTCCTTCGCTGTTCCACTGGTTAATTGCCCTCACTGTCAGGAAATTTCTCCTTATTTCTAAGTTGCTTCTTTCTTGCATTAGTTTCCACCCGTTGCTTCTTGTCCTGCCCTGTGCTTTTTGGAGAATAGATTGTAATCTATTGGAAGGGACCTTGGAGTTGGAAGGGACCTTGTAGGTCATCTAGTCCAACCCCCTACTCAAGCAGGAGACCCTATTCCCTTCGAGACAAATAGCTGCCCTAATGTCAGGGTTAAACCCCACGGTTCAGCCCTGAGCTACGAATATTCTCCCTGTATTGACACAAAATGCAATTAAAGTCTCAGCTTTTTGCTTTTAACATATTTTGTAAGCGTGAGCCATTTATATAACAAACGACTAGAATCATCCAAAATTCAGAGTTTCTTCCTTTTTATGGCTCTTTTGAGTCCAGAAGTAGCTTCCAAGTCGAAACAAAACAGGATAAATTATTTCCTTTAATTAAAGCAGTTAGAACATAGGATAACAGGGATGCAAATGAGCAGCTGTTTGCAAGGAGTAGAAATCCTTTCCTCACCATCCAGCCAGAGCTGAGGAAGCTTCCTGAATGAGAAGCAAAACATCTTCAGAGAAAAAAAGAAAGAAAGTTCAGTGGCCTCCTGGAAAAATAAGCACCTTTGGGACTGATAACTGGACGGTATTTCTCAAAGAAAGCCCAATAGCCTCTTGCAACAAGAAAATATAATCCCCATTTGCATACGAAGGATCCTAACATCTGGCCTGTTGGATGCAGTGCTTCGCTTACCTGAGACGACAACTGGCACAACAGCTACAACGAGGAGCAACTTTGCGTATAAGGTGCCTTCCATCTTCTGAGGTTGCTCAGAGCTGGAAAAGAGACAAGAGGGACGGGGGCTCTTAATGCCTCTGTGGATTTGAAGCGTCTCCCCAAAACCGTCCCAGCTGCACCCCCAGGAGGACGGGGGGGAAAAAAAGCTTCAACCCATTTTTATTCCAGAAAGAGATTTGCAGATAAATTCCACACCCTGCCATCCTTCGTGCCAACAGGTACCCATTTTTTGGGGGGGGGGCTGGTCTCCCCTCCCCCCCCAGGCTATGAAAAGCAGAGACTCACGTAAACGACCGATCCACGGCTGTCCTTGGTCTGAAAAAGAGGCGGCCGTGACCGCCCCGTTTTTATAGGCGTCCCAGTTATATGACTTTATGGCGGTGCACGGAGAAGTGACTCAGTTGTGCTGAGTTCAAGGTGTCGCTTATTTCAAGGCCTTCCTGGGTAAACATTGAGTGCTTCCTTTGGGGGAAAAGAAATCTGGGAAGGATTGTTGCGCATTTATGGGCCCGGCTGGGACAATGAGTAACCAGCACGATTTTGACCTGGCGGGCAGAGAGAAACCTTTCCAGAGGCTGAACTTTGCCATCAAAGAGGACTAGAAACTTGAGAGAGATTGAGGGCCAAGGGGTCAATCCGACAGAGCGGTTCCAAATCCTCTTTGGGAAGAGGGCAAGACCTCGGCTGCAGGATTTGTTTTAGTGACGTGGTCCAAGAGTTGCAACCATGCGTTTAGGGAATGTTCGAAGTTACGGCCGCATTAAAAAAAAAGAAAGACTTATGACCTTTTTTTTACAATTATGCCTGTTGCATCATCCCCACAGTTGCGTGATCAGAATTCAGGCACTTGGCCACTGATTCATACTTACGACAGACACAGTGTCCTACTGTCCCCATTTATTTGCATTCATGTCCATTTTCATATTTATACCTGCTACCTTCTACATGTTTGACAAACTAATAAATAATACAAATACAAATACATATGCCTTCCTTGCGACTGGGAATTTTTTTAGATTTAAAAAAAAACCAATCCTAAAAGTTAATAAACAGCCTTGTAAAGGGATGAATGGTAGGTGTATGTAGAATGTTAAAAAAAAAAGATTTGGAGACTCTAGAAAGAGGGCAGAGAAGAGCAAGAAAGAGGATGAGGGGACTGGAGACTAAAACATATGAAGAA